CCAGTCCACAGCTGGCGTGCGGGGGGTTTCGGGTTCTGGTCTGCCTCCCCGTGGGGCCTCAGCCGTGGCCTTCAGCCGGGGACGTGGCGTTGGTGTTTTCACAATAAGCTCTGTTGTGGGAAAAACCCAGGAAACCATCAGCCTGCAATCTACGGACATTACTTAAAGACAACTAAACGAAACCAGCGCTGATTTTTTACTTATTTAACTTGTTTCTTGGAATTTGCTTACTAAATCCTATTGAGAAGCGACAAGGCTTCCATTGAGCCAATATTTCCTCAGCGAAAAATGTCGGCTGCTTTTAGTTAGCAAAGAGGACTGCGGGGCTTAGTGCCAACTAGTAATCCTCTCCCAAGAAGGAAACTCCATGCAGTTTATCGGCAAAACCTCAGCCTGGCCATTAAAGGGTGGGCGCTGGAGTTTCACGGTCAGAAGAGGAGTTCCCCACCATACCCTTCTCCCCTGCTGAAAGCATTTTAAAGACAGGCACTATTCCTGCTCCTCTCGTCATTACTAATGATTGGATCATTACCAGACCGAGAGCGCTGGCCTCCCCACTGGGCCAGATGCTTTATTCAGAGGAGCTGAAATCAGGAACATTCAAAATCAATTCTCTCTGGCAACTGGAATGTGCAAAAGGAACGGAGTTGCCAGGACAACACATAAAACAGGATTTGGGGTTGGGTTTTTTTCTTCCTTATGAAAAAAAAAAAAGAGCCTTGAACTCTGAAGAGCTGAAAAGTCTTTGCTGTCACAGTTTCCAGGCGTTACTGGACTTACTTATTCACATGTGCTCTATTTTTAGCTTAAAAGTAAGTTTTAGCTTGTCAGAAGGAAGCAATTCAGAATTGCTTAGAATAACAATCAACTGAGCTGGGACAGTGTCACAGACATTTGCAAAGACATCACGACTTATTGAATTATATCCTAGATTTAGCCATTTTCTCATTCATCATTTGCTTTGTAGCATAGAGATGGGGAGAAATATGACTGCCTTATTCACCCTTAGTATTTATTGTCCCCAAAAGACAAATCCTTGCACTGGTCCAGTTTTTTCAAATAACCCTATTTGGAGCAGAACTGTATTTGTAGCATGAAAAGATTTCCTTTCTCTGGAAGCTGAGGTTCTGAAGGCAGGAAATAGATGTGAAAGCCTTACCTGTGCACACCTCAGTTGCTGGAGCCCAATCTGGCAAAGCACTTAAAAATCCTGGAACTCATATAATGCTGTGTAGGACTGCATGAAAGCTAATGGCCACCTGAGAGTGCTTCTCACCTCCCTGAATCAAGTTGTTATTATATATTACTCTTCATCAAGCTATTTATTACATATGTTTCCAACAAATGCACTCATCCAGCTAATGCAAGCCGCATGCCTTGGCGATTCTGTTACATTCACACTAAGCACTAACCAAAAGAGCAAAATATTTACAGCCACACATTCTGTTTGCATGCTTCTGAATCAAAATCTTCATGCTTGGTTTTCACCTACACATGAATTTAGTTCTTGAGACACTTAGTGGAACCTCTCCCACTGTTTCTAGGTTTTATTTTGTGATGAAAACTACCTTGTAAACAATCCCAGAAGATTTAGTTATATGTGTACTTTAAAAATCTGAACTTTGGACTTGCATAGAGAATAATGCATAAGCAGAAACAAAGCTGGTAGAACATGAACCAAGTTACCAATGTTTGGAAACTGCATGCACAGCTTGCAAAGGAGAACCTTTCTGAAGACGTGCTGAGTGCGCAGGCATGTCAACAGTTAATAATTAGCCTTAGATCTTGTTCCACCTTAAAGACTCAATCTTGCAAGGTGCTGAGTGCCCTCATTCCTCCCCGAAGTCAAAGCTGTAGAAACTGTCAATGACTCAAATGCAGTGTAACATGATTAATGTAATTAAAAATTAAATAAAAGTATTCTGACATTAGAGTTCCTACAGTAATATTAACTTCACAACAAAGTTGTTATAGTACTGCCTAGGTTCTTACATGTGTAAACAAAATGCACAGGGGAAAAGAAAGGTGATGCTGCCTAGTCTAATTTTGAGATCCTAATAGTGTATTTAGGTTTCTGCACTTAACATAAATAGTACTTGGCTTGCTGCAGATCCACCCACATCGTTGACTACTCCAGCTTTAGCAGTACAATACTTCATTCAGTATGAAGCAATCAAAAAGCCCTGGAGGGTTTGGATAAGCCAAAAGTTCACCTGAATGGCTGATCACATCAGTTCTTTTGGGAGCATTTTCTCATCCCCGTATTCTCTCACTCACAACTAACAATGACTCAGTCCTCATCTCGCTCAATCAGCTACTTCCCAACCCTTTAGCCATCATATCCTTCAGCTCCTGAAGTGCTCCTCACTACCTGAATGCACTGCAAAAAATCACTCAGAACAGAAAAACACCATCGAGCACAGGATCTCAGTACAGAAACAGTTCTGGGGAAACCAAACTAGTGGTAATGAAACCCTTACGATGTAGCATGGAAAAGGGAAAATGTACAGGGGCAGAAACTACAGAGAAGATTTCACATGGCCAGGAGAGGGGAAATACCTTATGCCTTATTTGAAACAACTCTTCAGATCCAAAACAGCTTGTAAGAATTAATTTTGAGGCTACTCTGAAGAGTGAAGTTCTGGGTGGTCTCCACGCATAGAGATAGTGTGAGCCTGGAGTTTGTATTTACCGCCAGCTCACATGCACCAATAATAACCAGCAACAGTGACACTTACTCTCCTTTGGCACAAACTGGATGAGTTTGCTTTTTACTTTCACTGGCGACGGCTCAACTCGGCATTTTCCTGGTGGTGCTCTCCTGAGAAAAAAGGGACACATACAGCCCACAATTAATTCCTTTCCCCTGGCATCATGAGCCTTAGCTTCCCATTGTTCTTCAGTGAAAGTAACTCTCATTGCAAAAAAAATAAATGTCTGTTTAAATGATCCAAGTAATCTCTTACAGTAGAAAACATAATTAAACAATCACATATCTCCGTTGATCAAAGTCCAAATATTCACAAGGCAGTGGAGTCCTCTGGCTGTGTTTTCACTTGCCATTGCTCAATCCATTAAGGAAATAAAACACTGGCAGGTTCAAGCATTACAGAAAGAGATTAATCAAACTGAAAATAAAAATCACAAAACACAGTGTATGTTGAACATCTGTCATGTGTAAGCAAGTTTTCAGGCTGTCTTCAGAGAAGCAAAATAACACACTATTATTTGTAACTAAAGCCAAACAAAAGACTAACCACTACAAAAATAGTACCAAAAATGCATTAGTTTTGAACAAGAGCTTTAAGTGTCTCCTACAGAGGCTTCCTCTTAGTCTGACGCATTATTTTGACACAACTTTGTTTGTCATGGCGGTAAATCTCACTTCTGAGAAGTTACATCCAGTTCATCATCACTTTTTCCTACACCGGCTGGCTCGTTGATCTGCAGCCTTCTTCAGAGGTTTTCAACTGGTTCAAAGATGCATGATGTTTGCATTTGGAGGGTATAACTCCTTTGTAATTAGATTGTTTGCATGTGCATTTCTGTGGAAGGCAAAGAGCTCCCCTCAACTACTGCCACAGACACATTCCCTACTTTTATGAATTTTCCTATGAGTTCTTTCTTATTCGTATTGCTGAACTCAACACACTAAAGGAACTTCTTTTTAAACTTAAACTTATGACTTTTTTTTGACTGCTGCTTGCTTTATTTTTGCAAAGGTTGCGTAATACCAGCCTCTTAATACACAGTTTACAGGAACTCTTCCACTGTGTGAGATAATGGAAAACGCTCCTGACAAGGAGAGTCGGAGGAAAACACACGGCAGCTCTGGAGGCTGTTTAACTTTCGCATCTGGTTCCAACATAAAACCAAAAAAAGAGGTTTGGTTCAAAATGCTCAGATAGCTAAAGCTGTAAATTTAATCTGTTTTAAAAAAAATAAAAGCTACAAAAGTCTCACTCTACATGTCTGGCTGAAATTACTTTGGTGTTTCGCCAATAATAGTAATGCTTAAAAAACAGGAAGATGGAAAAAACAGCTATAAGTCCTCTCATAAAACATAACTATTCCCTGCCTTGCCCAGTCTGAAGATATGTGCACATGGGATCCAGAAGGTGTAACAATGGTCTTATTTCCTTGTCCAAACCATTTTCCACTTTGAAACACAAACAATAATGTACTTTTTGACGTTCATTTTGGTTTTGCCTGCGAAAGCACTGCAGGTCACGCTGGGTCAGCTTTGGCTGCAGCTGCCTGGGCACGGGGCTCTCATGGGAGATGCAGCTGGCTACAAGGGACGGAGAAGAGCCGAGAGTAAACACCTTGAGAAAACTGCCTTCTTCTGGGCAGGAATCTGTAGAAACTTTGCCTGGGAAAGACAAGCCACCCATAAAATAGTCCTTTAGCTTTCAGGAACAAATCTCCCAACCCTCCTAACACCAACAGGCCCCATAACAAATTGGTGATCACCATGACTGCGGGAGCAAAGCAGACCCACAACGGGTTGCTCCAGCCACTCCTTGATCAAGCACCAGAGGGGCCCAGCACGGGAGAAGACCTAGTTACTTGGTCAGCATCATTCATCAGATCCACACCTGGACACATCGCACCACACTTAGGCTTTGCAACAAGAACATCTCATACCTAGAGGTGTCCACCACTTTGTATACCACTCCATGGGGTGCTGTGGCACTCGGTATGCCGGTAGACATGAAGTAAAGTTCTCCTGGAAAAAAACCAAACACAGCCATGAAAACTCTCCTTGGAGTTTCTGTCCCATACAGCACAAAGGCATGAACTTTGCATCACACGTCAGAGTGCATCAGGAAACCTGGGGCCGACATGGAGATCGGGCTACTGGAGGAAACAAAGTAGGTTTGTACTGGGGTTTGTAGTGACAGTTCATCTCCAGTCCAATGGCATAAAATACTCTTAGTGAGCCAGAGCTTCTACATGTTGTCATGAAATATTATTTGGACAAATTTCCACTGCAGGTTCAGCTGCCCAGACTTCAGCTGTCATCTCAGTCTGATCTGTGTTCTTTAACTTCACTAATGGAAACCAGTGAAACTCTGAATTCCTATTGTCAAAATGAAAGGAAAGGAAATGAAGAATGTTCACACTGTCTTCTGCTCTCTTGGATAAAGCACTCCTTTGGCGTGAATTACAAGAGAACAAGATTTTGCTTTTGCTTTCTCTCGCACACTCACAAAATGAGATGTATCTATCTCACATGAAAGGCATTTGGTTCGTCACAGCTCTGTCAGGTCACATGGATAGGGCTTGACCTTCAGCCTAACAAACAACTTCCATCACCATTTATTTGACGTATTTTCTCTTAACTGCATTTCCATCCTTCTCCTCCTGTTGTGCAGGGGCAACTGGGATAAGAATTTCCTCTGGCACTCCCCCTTTTCCCCGCTCAAGTACTTGAGCAGTCCAATGAAAAGGACCAGAGAGCAAAAATAAATTCACAATACTTCCAAAAAAAAGGCAGTGGAGACCTGTTTAGTGCGTAAAGCAGATTTATTTGGGCCTCCTATGGGTACCCCAAAGGGAAGAGGGGAAGGAGCAGAGAGGTCAGAGCGAGCAAAGGGAGATGTGGGCAGTCGGTGGCAGCTCCTGCTGGCCGCTGAGCCTCCCTTCTCCTCCCTGCTCTCCTCTGCTGCCGCAGACCAAGCTCCTCCGGATGCTGCCAGGGCAGAAACCAGCCACCTGGCTGCTTTCTTCCTTTTTCTGGTGGGCTCCATTAACCACAGGCCAGAGGCAGCCTTGATCCAAACAGGGATGGGAAACACCTGCAACTGCGTTTTGTGGCGCAGTGATGTGTGCTTCACATCCCACTCCTTTCCCAGAAATTATCAGGCAGAAATACGGATGCTCAGGCCATGAAGCACACAGGCTGTATCACATGTGTGCCCCACAGACACAGCACGGTGCCTGGGGTGTCCCCGACCTGTTCAGCTGCCAGGGGACAGGGCTGCTGGCTTTATAACGGCTGTGCGATGAGCCAAAAATACAGGTGTCCCCACCGCATCATCCACTGCACCGGCTGGATTAACATTCAGCACAGCAACAACCCCAAAAAACCCAAATGCTTCCGTGAAGAAAAGGTTGTTAAAACAAACTGTGTGATAAACTTGTAAAAAACCAGATTCCCAGCACACCAAAAAGGTGCAAGAGAAGACTGTTCACTGCAGATAAAGAAACCTCACTACACTGTTACCAACAGCTTTCTTTCCAGTATAATAAAGCAAACACAAGGCAAATAGTACCTCTGAGAACAGCCTTCAGCCCAAATTTTCACCCAGTTCTATTTTACTTATGCAAAGTACGTATGAAAAGCGCAGGGCAGAAGGGCAGCAGCGTTTCACCCCCACTTTGCACAGACTCTGCTCACAGGTACAGGACGAGGGAGACGCCGCTCCCCAAGCGCATGAGCAAGGGCTGCAATTAATAGCTTGATACTGCACTTGGCAGCCCTCTGAACTGGCATAAAGCTGATTTAAACTGAGTTATTCTGATTTTAGGGTAAGATATCCTTCTCGCCACAGCACTGCAAAACAGCCTTACCTTCCATAAACATTGACTATTAAAGAAAATGGTTTTTAACTCCAAAAAAGATAAAATTCCAAAGTCAAACTTTTGAGCTAATACTTAGTTTGGATGATTTACATTTACATGGTAAAATTTGCATTTATATAATATGCAATGCATATATGCAACATCCACACCCGACATAATCTCCAGGAAAAACAGATGTTTAAAACTGAGGCATTCTGGAAGTGGGTGCTTGTGACCACAAGCCAGGACCTCCCCACAACGGGGCCGAACACAAACTCCTGTGTCGCTGAGCCGCGCACGAGGCTGCTTAGCAATGGGGCTAAACATCGCGTGGGTCATCCTCTCCCCATCCTCAGTTAGGAGCTGCACGCTCTGCCTGCCCCGCTGCAGTGCTGGGCAATTAACCATACCCTTACACAAACAAAGGGAGCAACCACCAGCTTTCACCCCAGGACTCTTTATTTCCTCCTTTTCAAAATGCAGTGGCATTTTGAAAGCAAAATGTCTCTGTCTTACAAACACAGCTATGCAAAGCTCCACGGAGACTGATCCTTCAGTCTTACGTGAGGGAAAATCCCAACTGGCACTAATAAAATATGGACTTAACCAGCCTTTTGCTGATACCTCACTCGAGACATAATGTAGGGCTTTCATTCTGCTTCACCTCGAGACGTACAAATATTCCAGGCCAGGGTGAGCAGGTTCGTAATTACTGTTCATTACATCTGCTTTCCTGTATTCATTAATAACATCAACAGCCTTCTTGACTAGCATAGATTTGTTCTCGCTTGGGTATCAGCTTCTCAGCCTCTCAGGGCCTGCATTCCCCACAGCATGGCACTGTGAAGAAGGAGGTTTCTTTTCTAAGCTGTGCTTTATTGTACTTGCCCCCCCCGTTCCCCGTCCCTCCAGAGGGTAGGCGTGCGGGCAGCAGCACACCCAGCCTCAGTCCCGAGGGAACTGCCTCTCCAATTCCCCCTGCAGTCACTGCGTGGCACACTGGCCTCAAAATCAGGATTGTAACTTTGGTTTGATATTTGGGAGATGCTGGGAGTCTCACCCACTGGTGTTTTAATGACTGACAGACTCGTGCTCTGCCTCCCCACCACCCACGGCCTCCCAGGAGCCCTCTCTGACCCGTTCTCAGGTGTTTTACTCTGCAGAGAAACCACAAGCATGTCATTCAGTGTGATATAAAGTTAAAAGATTACCCGCTTCATCTTCAGCAAAGGAGATGATGTATTGGTAATAGTTATTGATGAGCCCAGGGAACATGCACGTTTGTCCCGTCCCCATGCAGATTTCACTGTACTGCCATTCTCTGGTAGCACGATCCTCCTTCAAAGACATCAGGCGTCTGCAAGGCAAAAAAGCACTTGCACCAAGCAACGAAGATGACGATTTATGAATGTTAATCAGGACACCTGAAAGGATGTTTAATGCTTCCTATCTGCATTGGCTACTATAGGAGCTGTAGCTCCTCCAAGAAACAAAAGATTGTTAATATTAAAACACATATATTATACAACCCTGCAACACTTTGTCTTTCAGGGACTACACAAGCCCAAGAAAAAAAAATATGGGAGGGTTTAAGCGATGTCAAACTGGGGGGACCTTACCAGAGATGCATAGCACTTGGCTTCACCGCAGCTCTGCAGCCCCTCTCCTGCGCCCAGGACCAGGGCATCAGGACTGCGTGCGAGAGGCCTGGGAGATGCAGAAACAGCAAGGGCAGAGGAGGTGGGGGAAAAACAAGGCAGGCTCATGCCTGCTTCAACACAGACTCACTGCTGGACAATACTTTCTTTTGTTCAGTATCTTTGGTGTCTGAAAACGTTGCATCAGAGTGGTGGAGGTTTTTAGGATGCATTCAAATGCTTTTCACACTGCTTCTAGGACTTTAAATGAACATCATATCATTGCCTCTTTATTTGTACTGGAACTTTGTAAATCAGCAACATGGATGGCTGCTGGAATGCAGAGATTGCCTTCCTGCCTGGAAGGCAGAGATTGCGTGCCTGCACAGCACCATGGACTAAAGGTTATATAAAACATGCCACGTGAGCCCTCTGCAATGAGCAGTCAGGCTTTGCCCAGTGCTTGCAGGCAGCCAGTAGCAGCATATCCTCAGTGGTCAGACTGCACCAGCACTCGTAGGCAGTAGTACGGCTGGAAGGCTTCCGCTGGGGTTACAGCTTAGTGAGTGTCTGAAGTATTTCACAGAATCATATCATAGAATGGTTTGGGTTGGAAGGGACCTCAAAGGCCATCTAGTTCCATCCCCATGCCACGGGCAGGGACACACTCCACCAGACAAGGTAGCGCAAAGCCCCATCCAACCTGGCCTTGAACTCTTCCAGGGAGGGGGCCTTACTTACCCACTCATAAAATCACCAACTTGACTTACCCACTCATGAAATCACCAACTTTACTTACCCACTCATAAAATCACCAAATATGTACAGGCCATTCAAGTTTGGAGACTCGCAACCCCGATAAACATAGCCTCCCGTAACGGATTTCCCCATTTTGTGTGGATAGGCATAAATTGGAAGCACATCATCTGCAGAGGAGAAAAGATCTGTGACTTGCTTTGCTTTACATGTGATGCAGAATAGCCATTTATCTAGATAGTTCTGAGACTAGATGATACGATCAGGTTCATTTGAGCATTTTCTAATTAAATGAACTGCCGACAGAGTCATGTTTAGTTTGATTTTCACCTTTTCAGAACCACGTTCGATAGCCCTGCCCAGCTGGCTGTGTGAAGCAAGGACAAGCTAGCTCTGAGAGACTGCTCGGTGTCCTGCTTGCAGTATAAGCTGAATCCCTGATGAGCCCGAGGGCTCTCTATCACCCAGACACCTCACTGTTCTCCCGAGCCCTTCTCGTCCCACTGCCACCCAGCTCTGTCAGTGCTGCTTCTCACCCATTTCTACACAGCCCGGCTGGTTTTGCTGTGAATTTGCAGGTTACTCTTAAGAGTCACTGCATCCATGGAAAAAAGAGATAGGTAACTCCAGACTGCAGGCACTGATGAAAAGATATGTCAGATGTCAGCGCAAATAGCTTCTGTTTCCCTGAGACAGGAGAGCTTAACCTGAAAGGGCCATCAAATATTTATGGAATGGCACAGGCAAGATGTAGTTCTGGCACATTCATTGTCAAATGCAAGTTAAAACACAAGACAGAAGCAAAACAGCGGGAAATGTGCTGATTTTGAGGGTCTCCATTGAATGCTTCCTCCCTTTTCTTTTAAAACTCTTGGGTTACAGGTATTTCTTCATGGTACCCACCCTTCCTCTTCCTCACAGCCTTTCTCCCTGCCCACACAGCAGATGCCTCAAGTAGCAAAGCCAGCAGCTCTGCGAGCGAGGGACTTGCACCAAGGGCATTTTATCTAACATCTTTTCTACACTTCAGCTGCGCTTATCGTTTTAAAGGGGCTGTGACACTTCACTGTTCTAACAAAAGGGTCTCTAAAGGCATCAGAAATTGTTCCAAAACCCTGGAGGTCTCAGTAAAGTGCTTGCCATGAATGCTCACACAGGTGCTGTCACACAAGAGAGCACTAAATGGGCTCTCTGACAACTGCTTCAGCAGAGGGAGTGCAAAAAATCTGCTCCCTGCTCTCAAAATTGTTGTAAAAAACACTTAATCACTACCACTGTACTTGCAGTTAAGTTAATAAAAGGAAGGAAGTTAAACAAAGTTAATAAAAGGAAGGAAGTTAAACAGCAACACATAGCATATAGAAGACAAAAAAAAATCAGGATCTCAGCTAGTGCAAACCAGTGCCAGCCCACTGCAGCCTTGGATCTCTGGGGAGATGCTCCAGCACAAGATGTGGTTCACATCAGACCTTGCAGCACAAAACACTCTGACTTCACACGTGCACTGGAATTTAGCCGGCCAGCAAATACCCTGAATCCAGGTTTGAAAAGGTTTGTGGTTTGTTTTTTTTTAAAAAAAGCTTTTCCTTTTTGGCATAGCTAAAAAAACCAAAAATACACTGTACATTCAATTACCTGCAAATCATGCAGTCTGCATACTGGTTGGCCCGCTTACATACTATGTTTCGTTCTTTTTTTAAAATAAGGACACTGCTTCTGAGTTACGGAGAAAAATGCAATTGCTGTAAATTTTTCTCGCTTCGCCAAGAAAGTTTATTTTATGTGGAAAAGATGAAATTGTCACCCTAAATCACAGAATCACCAGGCAATTTGACTAACAACACAGATCGCCTAGAAAAAGGACAGCTAGCACATTTCATTTGCCTCCTAACTCAAAAATGGCAACATTTGGACTTTCAATATTTATCCCCAAGTCAGCTCCCTTCTAGACTGGGACTGCATAGTTTTACATCTCAGAAATGTGTGTTTTCCACCAAGCAGCCAGGCTTTGAAGGCAGGAATTAAAAATGACGGTGTAGAAAACTGCATGGTGTAAGACAGGTAATTTAGAGAGAACATCTATCTACCCATTGAAGAATTGGTGCAAAGTTTTTTGTCATAGCAGCTGAATCCTTCCCTTGCCCTCCAGCCGTAATTTTTCCCTTTCTCGACGATATCAATTTCTTCGTATTTATTCTGCCCCACGTCTCCGCAGAAGAGCCGCCCTTTCCCTTCCTTGGTTTGAGGTTCGCCCCTATCGAAAGAGCAGCGCCACATATTCCTCACTCCATATGCATAGATTTCGGGGCGAGCCTTAGGGTCGTTAAGGAAAGGGTTGTCGGGAGGGATTCGGTACAGAGGCCCACGGTCATTGTTGTTCACATCGATCCGCAGCACTTTGCCCAGCAGGGTTGATCTGTATGGGGAGAAGAAAGGAAAGAAGAAAAAGAAAAAGAAATAAAACTAGGCCTTGGTTGAACATCAGAGATGGGGTTTTTGGAAAGTCTAGAGTTTAATTCTTTCTGTTTTGGCTATTGATTTCATTTGCCTTGGGCCACCAAACAGCCTTCAGGTGGCACCGACTTCCCACACCCACTGCCCCACGGATGCGCACTGGTGGCTTGGAGCTGCCGTAGGGACGGGTCCGCTCTTACTTGTTCTGGGCGTTTCCAAAGGTCCCAAAAGGATCCCCAGCCATGCCTCCATCTCCAGTAAATATATAGAGATACCCATCATCTCCAAAGAGCAGCTCTCCTCCGTTATGGTTGGAAGCGGGTTCATCTATTTCCAGGATTACCCTAAGTGAAAACAGGGAGGAGGCATTGCTGACTGCACAAGCCCGAAGCAAAGGGCAGAGCAATGTCACGCCAATGTTGCCTTTGACACATGGAAATGGGAACAGATCAGGTTTGATGCGAATTCCTCCATATCCACGTTACTGAAAGTTACTTGGGCATAGCTGATTTTCTAACCTTAAATAATTCCAACATATTTTCTGGATTACAGAAACACCAAATTGTGTAATAAGGAAAATCTGGGAAACCACATGACAGAATATACTTTTAATTAATTGTACTTTTCCTTTGCCTATTCCTTCCTCCCTGTTAAACCTTTTTTTCTTTTCTTTTTTTTTTTTTTTTTAATTTTTAAGAAAAGGCAGCTCAGCTTAAATCCGATTGTAAGCTGCAAGAGAAAGGTCTCCAGTCCGTCTGTGCATCTGTACAGCATTGGGCACAATCCTGACAGGCGCTTTCAAGGTGAACCTAAAACTTTTCAAACATTAAGTAATAGTTAAATTCTTAGAGAGAAGAATCCTTAAATGGTAATTACACACACAGAACTTTACAAGCTTAAAGAGTGTTAAAAGCAGCCAATAAACTAACATTTTAACAAAAGTTATTCAAAGCAGTATCAGCAACCCTTACCTTAATTTTAAAACCTCTCTCTTACTTTTATCTGTTTATTTTATGCAGCTGGCATCCCTTTCATAGTAAGAAAAAGCTGAAATATATAAAAGGATAACTTTATAGAAATGCAAAGCCACAAATACATGCAATGGAGCTTCCCAGGTATAATAACTGAAGTTTATTTTACTGCAGCTTCTAAAAAAGTCCAGATTTCATGCTGACAGTGCCTCTTAATAGCTGCAAAAACAAATAATAATCACTTGCGCCACTTCATTTTTAGCAATTTTTTTTCCCTTCTGAAAGTACTGATAGTTTGTGATCAGACTGTAAATTGTGGGAAGGAACCCAGCTATGTAATTATTCTGTCACCTGCTGCTAAACGGCACCACCTCTGAGATAAGGTAACTGTGCACGAGCGCACAGACTCCAGCTGGCAGCAGGAGCGAAGGAGCATCCTGTGCGGACACAAAGGCGAATCCTCCTCCACCTCCCAAAGAAGATGGAAGAAAACAAAACACACTGAGCACAAATCTGCGGACAAACAGACATACGCCTTCCTGCTAAGGCAACACGCACCACGTGCCGGCCAAAGCTGCCTCTTGGGCAGCATCTCAGGATGAAGTCAGTGGGAGCCGTGCCTACACAAGCACAACAGGACCACAATTTTGTTTTCTTAAGCTTTTGCAGTACTAACCATCAGCTAAATAAGCACAGAAAATGTTACAAACGTTGAGCCTGAGGATTTTTAAACAAGAGAGCTCATGGGCCCTGACATCTGCAGGTTTAACCTCTTTCCTGAGGACCACGTTTCAGTTCCCCTTACCTGTCATCTACCGTGCTGCTCATGCTGAGTTGTTGTCATTGCTTTATAAACCAGCGTCCCCTTTCTGTCATTAGGCTACAATTAGTGCATTTCTGAGCGAGAATCATCCACTGCTGAGTATCTGGAAAGCCTCCAATATAACCCATGTAACAAAGCAAAAACTTAGTAATATTCAAGGGTCTCTTAAAACAGTGGTTCTATTATGTGGTTCTGCAGCAGGTTATAAGTCTATAGACTGACTCCACAAAACAAACCTCTCATTATCTGCACATATCAATATGGATCAAGTGCAGGATCAGACTCAAACAAATGAAATTTCCAATCAAAATGTGCTCAACGGTAGCCCAGAGGTTTGCATTTTATGTAATTACAGTTGTAATACCACAGGGTTGAGCTGTCATTCACATAAAGAAATGTGGGGCCAAATCCATCTTTGGCCTGGTATCACTGAGTTCGTTTATACCGATTTTGGAAACCTTTGGCTTTGGAATGAATTTCACTTACGCTTTGTAGAAGTCTTTTTTAAAGGGTAATCATTACAATACCAAAAAAAAACCAACCAAAACCCAACCCCCAAAATACTAACTGTAAATAGTGTTTAATCAACTGCTCAGTTAAATCTTCTGACATGCCAGAACTGGGAAATGCCACAAGATTTATCCCTGAGCGCTTGCAGTTCATTCACGGAGGACAGGCCTATTCTCTGTCTCAGTAAGCTGCACATGGACTTGGACTAACTTGCTACCACACTGGAATGCAAGAACAATATTAAGCTAAATAAGTCTCATTCATTAATAGCCTTTAAAAATGCACAAGCTGCCCTCAGAGATCTTAAATACATTTGCTAGAGAAACGTGTGTACAATACCTTTCAGAACCATGGTCCAAAGCATTCATGTCAGCAGCAGAAATTCTGAACTCACTGATTCGGATTCTCTCTTCATAACGAACTTCAACTGAATAGTAGACATACACTTTACCATTAAATTTGAATTTAGGATGGAAGACAATACCTAGAAAACCTCTCTCGTCTCCTTCCCAAGGTGAGGTAAGTACGGCCTCGCTGATGTTCAGAAATGGCTTTTCGAGCCTGGATCGATTGGGGAGGTAGGTCCACACCAGGCCAACCTGCTCCGCAATGAAGAACCTGTGGGTACCATCGTTGGCGTGCACCATCGCTACGGGATTGCGCAGCCCATTGGCAACCTCGACGAGGCAGAGCTGGAGACAGCCCTCCGCGTCGGCGGTGACTAACCCCAGGTTTTGGTTAAGGTTCTGGTTAGCTAGCAGGTGTGGAAAACAGTAGTCTGTGTCCTCCAAGGACAGGTAACGGCAGAATTTTGCCATGTTGTTCTCCAGTGCAATTAACTCTTGATCTGCAGAGAGATAGCGAAAAATGGAGCGGCATTTTTGCCACACTTGCAGGCAATAGTCTTGGCAAAGTCCTGGTATCGTCCGCACGGGGGTGGAGGGATCCTCGGCGTCGTACAAGTGAGCTGCATATGGAGAACATTCCTAGAAGGAGAGAGAAAAATTTCTTGGACCAGATTTGAAACAGCTGAGCAGCAATACTAATTGGAGAAATTTCACCTTAATTACAACATATGTTGTGGTTTATTCTGAAGATATATTAACAGAGGAAAAGATCTTAGAAAGGGGGTTTATCTCAGCATTCACAGAAATGATCTTCAATATTCCTGGTGAAAGCTGGCTTCCTCATGCTGTTATTCATTTATTCCAACCATAGCACTAACACGAGAAAACCAGTGATGACATATATCTTGCTACAACACCCCAGCAGACTGTACTGGGGAAAAAGAGACTTTTCTATCTTGGATGCTCTGACTTTATCTATGAAATACCGAGCAGCTTCACCACAGCACAGCAGTGAAACCAAGGAGTTAGCTAAGAAGATTCAGGTCTTGCATCTCCAGGCTGAGCAGGGAACGGGAAAGGTCAGTGGGGCAAAAGCCTGCAATTTCCATATCTCGTCATTCGACAATCCAGACACGCACCTCAAACACAGATGTGATGTACAGGTTGGAAGGAGCGGGATGAGCAAGCGTAGGAGGAGAAGAGAAGGACGCTCATCCTTTTTACTGTGCAGTGCACCCAGCCCTGGGATGCCATCACTGCATACACCAGACTTGCTTGGGTGCAGCTGCCTTTGCCTGTGGATATTTGCCTACAGACACTTTATATACCTGATTAGAAGTGGTGTAATGAATCTCATGATCATGACACCGGTCACCAAGTTCTGTGGGCAATGCTCGGGCTACAGGATTTCAGGCAGTGAGCACCAAATGGCCATAAGCCAGGCACGGTCCACTGGCAGTGACTGCAGCACAACCCCAGTTTATGGAAGGCGCAGCCTTGGAAATCTATCTAAGGACTGAATCAAGTTCACATAGTTCGTTGTATTCTCCATTACAAGAACTCCGACAGGCACATTTTCCTTATGTAAAAAGCCACTGCCATCCAGTAACACTGTCTGTAAATTACAAACTGACCAAAGTGACTCAGTTTTGCTTTGCAAGGACTTTTCCTTGTAATAAACACACACTATTTTCCAGCTGTAATGCATCTTCCTGACAAGCATCTCAAAAGTCCTCTCCAAATAACATAACATGACTCAGTGGAGGCTCAGTTATTTTCACAGGGCAGATAAATAACTGAGGCAAGAAAGGTAGGAAGAGAAACGATCCTTCTTGAATAAATTCTGTATTTTTTAATTCCTAGATGGCATTTCTTCCAAACAAAACCAGCTTAGTTTAAATTAAAAAAAAAAAGATTTCTAAATCTACAGGGAGCTACTTCTTAATGCAGATTATAGCACTATTCAGTAGCTGAAAAGATACAACATCCAAGATACTGAAGTATTTATATTAGCTGATAAGTACACATAATATTTAATTTTCATTTTATTTTCCATTACACACCATAATAAACTGAGAGGCCATATAACAGATCATTAGTGTACAATAAGCTTTCCTCCTGGAATGGCAAGCCACTCATTGCAAAATTAAGGTTATTATGCCTTCAAATGAGCAGGAATTAATGTGGTAAAAAGGAGATTGCGCGTGACACAAAACACTGAAATTACACGGGCAGATTGGGTAATGGCACTCGGCTCGGTTGCACGAGGTGCGCCAGCAACAGAAAGAGCCGGAGCATTTCCCGATGCAGTTGTTATGACTGAAAATTTGGCCTTGGAAAACAAATTGAAACGAAAGAGAAAAGGAATGTGAAGGCAGGGCTGGATGGGAGCTCAGCCTGTTGCTGCCGACGGAGGTTTCACATTCAGAGAGAGGAAGACCACTGCTTGAGTACCGGTGTGTACCTGGTTCTCTGAAAGCCTCCTTGAAAGCAAGCAGTGATCTTAGGCATTATAAAGCCATGTCCTGGCTTCAGCATGGGAATTAAAAATAGCGCAGAGGTATGGTTTCCCTGTCCCTTCACCACTGCGGGCTGTTCACCCCAGCCTCAGGTGTGTTTGAATAGCTGTTGTGGATGACTTCTTCACTCCTTACCACGTTCCTGGTGGCATACAGCTATTTACAGTGGCATTACGCTGGCGGTGATGTACAGAGATCATTCACGAGCCAGACAAGCATGTGTCTAGGGTATTTTCCAGATACATTCAGAATATCTTCCAACTTTTATTCCACAAGAGACAGAGCCTGACGCCTGATCCTGAATTTCCCTGCTTCTGGATCAAATGTTGTGGTCCTTCACCCTTTGCATCATCTTGTCATGTCCACTGACTCAAAACACCACGAAACTCTACACTCGGTCACAGCCCAGCATCGCTAACAGATCTGAATTCTCGTTTCCAAATGACATGGTCTGTTCGCTCATTTTAAACTACGATGTGGTCCAAAGACCAGGGAAACTAATGGGCTGATGATCAGTAACTGGAACAAGCTCACAGTATGAAAATAACTCATCAGAAAATAAAACAAGTGATATTAAGACAAGTTAGCTAAATCCGTCTTATTTGTTCCAGGAATTCAGAGGCAGCTATTTATCTGAGGAATTGCAACAGTCTGAATTTGGCTGAACACCCACATCAAACAATGGCTTTTTTACTGCTGCTATCAGCCTGGGGGAAGCAATGAGACTCCTCAGGAAAGTGTCTAACGTTCACGTAATTCCTGACATTCCCTGTCCACCTCCATCTGGAAACTCAAGCCTTTAAGCAAGCTGTTCCCCGAGAAGCAGAACGAGGCATCTGCTCTCCTGCAGTCTGGTGTCCTGTATCCCACCACATAACAATCCACGTCCACACACATCCCTGAGACCCGCTGCCCCCCTCAAAATACCTCCAGGTGTTGAGGCTGTGGGGCAGGCAGGGGGGTGTCCCACCGCAGCCCTGCTCTCCCCCAAGGCCAAAGGCAACCTCTCAGCCTGCTTCTGGGTGGGGGAAGACCCTCTTTTGGGGCTGGGGGATCATGGGCAGCATGGAGGGAAGGGTGTTGCTGCTCTTCCATTTGCCCTTCCACGAGGAACAGAAACAGCACCACGTAGCAAATCACAATTTAAGAGAAGGTAGGAATCCTCACCACAAGTACAAGCTGCAACACGTGTCAAAATAATTTGATCACATTTGAGAGAAATCATGAATTGTGAGCACACTGAATAAGTCACAGAAACCCACTTACTAATTCAGGTCTAGGATATAAATTGTATATATAACAAATGAATAGAAGCAGAGTGTTCTGGAGTGTTTGCAATGCCCAAACTCCCATTTTGTGCTTGCGCAGCCAGAGGTGATGGTTTGTAGCCACATCTGGGCTGGTGATGCACTGAGCTCATCAGAACATTTCAGTGAATCATTTTTCCCACACTGAAATATTTCACTGCTTCTGAACAAATTTTCAACGGTCAGGTTTCTGATGTACGCAGGAGACTTACTTATCGCTTCCAGAGGCAGAAGGAGTGCTTAGCAGGCACTGTTAACTGGTTTCCTATTTGCAAACTGACTTTTGGACACCGCTTGTTTCAGGAATATACTCAAAGGTTTTTTGCTTCCAGTACAACGTGAGATGAAATAAAAGTCAAATCTCTAGAAGCTGTCGAGGAAAAGGGTTGGTTTTCTCTTCATGCTTTCAGGAACACAAGAGGTAGCCTGCAAAATGCTAAGAGCAGGATTTCTGAAAAGCCATTTTGATCCCATCTGAGCACAGCAGACAAGACTCCACTGTCTGAATTAATTTAAGATTTACACTTGCACAGCACAGAGCTGCCACTGCTCTGTCTCATGGGCATTTTCACACATACGAGGCCACCGCTGATGATAGAGTCAGACGCTGTGCTCTGCGCAGACTGTGATCATCCCGTTATCCTATCTGGCCACAGAACATCAACCCCGAGTGGAAATTTCCCCCGTGCGGGATGGCCACCACAGAGGTTTCTAGGCCGCATCCTCAGGCATTACTCTGCACCCACGGTCAGGACTGTTAGCACCTGGCACATACTAAGGGCCTCTCAGGATGCTGTAACCCAGTACGAAACCCACTTGATCCCGTAAGTTGGGCATAACAAGGAGCATGTCTTGTGCAAGCTGGTCCCCTCCTGGGTGTCTTCACCAAGTCCAAGAGCATTGCTGCTCATAAATTAAAGCAGAAGAACACTCATATTCCTCTTTCAAACACCTGCCAAAGGTGGAAAAGTCCACTGGGAAACCTAACGATGGACAGTTGTTCCTGACAGTGCCTGGGAGCACGTCTAGGCTGCTGCACTAATCCCTGATGCACCCGCACATGGGCCAATGCACCCGTGCGTGGGTCTGGGCACTAGTGCCACAGCGGACAGACCTGTGGAGGGGTCCATGGCTCACACACCCCTGTGCTGCCCTAAGCCCCCTATGCCTGTGCTGATGCAGCCCTGCACGGGTCGATGCAGTCATTCCTGCGCTGATGTGCCCATGTCATGGCTCCCGCACCCCTGTGAGGTCTAAAATGCCTGTGCCTGGACCAGTGCACCCCCCATGGACTAATACACCCACGCCTGGGCTAAAGCACCCACACCTGGGCCAAAGCGCCGTGCCGGGGCTGAATCCCCCTGTGCGGCTGATGCCCCCTGTGCGGCCCGGT